ACTTTATAGTAGTTTGCTTTAAGACAAAAGAAGAAAAAGAAAGTTAGTAAAACAATGTATACCTCTTTTCTTAATATTTATAAAAGGCTTGTTCTTATGTATTTGACCAGGTTTACTTTTTCCAAAAAATTACTAAAAAAGAAAATTTTTAAGAAAAAGGAGGATTAGCAGAAAGAGTTTTTTTTTTTTTTAAAAAAAAAAAAAATTACTTTTTATAATTCAATAAAAAATTATTTATTTTATATAAAATTTATAAATAATTTTTTTATAACTAAAAAAACAAAATTAAAATTAAGATTTTTATATAAAATAATTTAATAAATCTTTAAAAATTTATTTTTTAAAAAAAAATTTATAATTTTTTTTTATATGTAAAATTTTTTGTTTATAAATTTAAAATTAAAATTATAAATAAATTATATAATAATTTTGAGATTTTTTTTTTATATTTTTTTATATTTATATTTTAAAAAATATATAAAGTTTTAAATAGTTTGAATAATTTTTTATTAATTTATAAACAAATATATGCATTTTAAAAAATTTCAAAAAGTTTTGTTACATACTGTATCAATTTCTTTATTATAATAAGCAAAATACAGAAGATAGAAAAAAATAGTATCAAAAGATACAAATATTCTTGAGTTTTTGATTTTATATAGAATATAACAATATAGAAATATTTAGACTATATTTGATATAAAATAATCAAAGATAATATTTTAATAAATTATGTTTTTGCAAATTAATTAATCAAAACTATATAAATAATCTTGACACAATATATATAATCATTTTTATAAATTATATTGGTGATATAAATCTGATAGTTTATAAATTTTTCAATTTTAAGATTATTCAAAGCATTAAAAAGATTATTGAAACCATATAACAAATAAACAAATTTATATATAGGATGTATTTGAATATAATTTGAATCTATTAATAGAATAATATATATATACTGTATATATACTGTATATTAGAAAAATTTATTTTTAATCTTCAATTATCGAGTATAAAATTTTTATTATATAATCTATGGAATTAAAAAATTTATATATTCTTACTTAAACTTTAGAATAAAGAACTTTTTATAATGACTATTCTAAATAAATACTATTCAGATATCTTATTTCAAAAAGTGTTTTATATATTTTAAAATTGAAGATTATAATTATTTTTTTTGTATAATAAATATAGATTTAATATTAAAGATATAATTAACAATATAATTATAAAGATCTTAACAAGAATAAAGTAATTATTGCATAAACAAAAAAATTATTTAACTTATTTTAGTATATTTAAATAATAGTAAAATCCTAGAACTAATTCAAGATAAAATAAATTGTATAAAATTTATTATCTTTAATATTTAAAAGAATAGATATTAATACTTTTATAAATTGGAAGCAAGTAATAGAATCAACTATAACATATTAAGATTTTGTAAATATAATAAAGTTCAATAAATACAAATATACTAGATAATAATACTAATAAATATAACAATAATTTTTAATATAACTGTTATTAATAACTTTTCTTTAATATATGAGTAATTATTTTTGAAGGTAGATAGAGATTTTTCTGACTTTATAAATTGTATTCCTAGAATTTATATTATATATGTATTATTAAAAAAATAGGGATCAAAAAATATTTATAACATTTTTGTCATTTTCGAAAATAATTATCCTTATTTGAAATATATAATAATGAAGTTGGAGTATATTGATTTTTTGAAAAAGATAATAATCAGTGAGAGTTTTTAACAAACTGGTTTTTTTAAAAGTTAAATATAAATAATATATAGAAAAAATAGATAATAAAATATTTTTATAATTAAAAGTAATATATAATTATTTATATTTAATAAAGTGGACCTGTTTTTGAGTACAATATACAGTATGTATATAGTATATATATATTTTATAAGTTTTGATTAAATAATTAAGGATTAAAAAATTGATAAAGTTAAAATTTATGATAAAAATATTGTAAATAGACTCAAACTTTTGAAAGTAACTATAAATTTGTATTTAAAAAAAATATAAAATTATAATAAATAAAATAAAAAAGAATTAAAAATAAAATCTTTTTGAAAATCTTGATAAGATAAATTAATAATAATATAAAATAATTTTTATATTAATTAATTAGAAAATTTTTTATTTAAATTATTAATAAAGTAATAAACCATTACTAAAATTATATTTGAAGTTATAATAATCAAGATAAGTAAGTTAATTAAAAATTTGACTTTAATAATATATACTGTATATATATATACTAATTTTATGTTAAATTAATTAATTAATTTTAAATAATTTTTATTTGATAAAAAATATTGCATATTATTTGCATATTATATAGAATTTTAAATTGACTTTTTAATTATTTTTTAAAAATATTATTGTTCATTATTTTTTAATTATTATTTGATTATTATTTTATATAATGAAATTCAAATTTAATTTACCGAGTCAAAATTACGGTGTATTAATACTTTTAATTAAATTGTTGGTTTGAATTATTTCAGATAAATTCTTTTTTATTAGTTGTATTGCTAAAGGTTACCATTTAAAGCTTTTTTATGGATATTTATATTACGTATAACTTTTTTAAACGTGCAAAATGTAATGTTTCTAAGTTTATGAAATTATATAAAAGATGTTTTTTATATAAATGCCCAAATTTTTTTATATAAACGTACTTACTATAATAAAAAAAAAAAAAAAAAAATCTTTTTTTCTTTGATTCATTAACAATTTGATGCATTGAACCTATTTTTTTATTTATGATTTTTAAGTAATATTTGAAAATACAAAGTTTTTCATGCCAGTCAATTGAATTTTTTAATGCTTGTAGAATAATAATCAATTTTTTTTAAAAAAAAAAACAATTGGATTTTTATTTAAAATAAAAGGTTTGTTTTTCTATAATAGTTTTTTGAATTTTGAAAAAAAAAAAATTTTTTTTTCTTTGATAATATATCGTTTCACGAAATCATTCCTTTAATGCGTTCGGCATATCAAAATCAAATAATATATGACAAATTGATCAATTCTCAAGTTTAATGTATTCAATTTAGATGTTTCAATAATCTATTTCAGCAAACAGAATTTTTATACAGTATTTTTCACTATTTTTCTGAAATATACTCGGGAGATTTTGATAGCCATGTCTGAATAAATGAAATTACAAGGGTGATAATGAGTTTTAGAAATAGATGGATATGCAATGTATACACAGTATATTAATACTGTAGAATAAAAATTTCTTACAAATTTTTTTTTTTTTTTTTTTTTTTTTTGTTGTTGTTGTTGTTGTTCCCAATTAAATCATTTCACCATCAATATACTGTGTAGAAGTCCTTTGTTCGGAGTTTAGAACCATGATCATGCAATCGTTGAATATGGCGTTTAATACTGTACGTTTTTCTTTTATTGAGTTATCCGAATATTTTTGAAATAAGATTCGACTATTTCCTTCGTATATTTTTGAAGTAGGATTTACAATTAATTCTATGTGAAAGTCCACTGTGACCTTTCTTAATACGTATGTCGTCTAATTCGGGTCACTAATAAGTGATCTTCTTTCGTCACCAGGTTAACCTCTATTGTCAAGGTAACACTGCAGATTCTACATGATGCTCGATAGGGCTGATCGCATGAATTTATTTTCATGACGCTCTGCAACTTTGCAACCTTTTCTTGGGATATAGTACGTAGCAGATGAGTCATATCGCGATCGATTAATACTAGTAGCCTTTCACGCAAGTTTTATTTCCCCCTCGTTTACATGATCAATTCAAAGGTTTTCGGTCGTATTATAAAAAACACTTGAGCCACGTTGTCAAGCACAAATAATCCATGTTCAGATTACAGTGGTTATGTTTTGATTTCTTCGTGGACGAATAACAAATAAGAAGGGATTATTCTAAAAACAAATGAATTATAAAGATCTAACATCTAAATCTTCTTGCGTGATTCAATTATAATACGAAGAGGGTTTCACGTTTTTCACCATTCACCGGTTGCGTTCGTCAGGTCACGATTTACCACAATGTCCTCTTACCCCTGACTCCGAATGCTGTTGAAAGAAAGGAAGAACTCAACACTACAATGATGGTCCTATTTTTTACCACTAGTATTCAAGATCCAACCCGCGTGTGTGGGAGCTACGAGATATGTGCAAGACGCACGAAATTCTTCATTAAAACAATCACCCGAGAACATGTATACATCATCGATCACATCAAAAAAATGTAAATACGTAAAAGGTTTTGGTGCAAATGAGTTGGGACAGGAATAAGGGCAAACTCCCAAGACGAATACAAGCAATGGAAACGTCGGTATCAACAAAGTGGCGTACCTTTCCTCGCGGAAGCCGTTGATCAAATGATTGTCATCATGCCAACCAGAGGTCCAATGATCCTTGAGATGAGTAAGTGAGAATCGAGGGATTGTCTTTGTGAGCTAGTTCGTATGTATTGCCCGAAATTCTTCCTATATGCGCCAAAGTGATCATATCAATGTGTGAGTAACAACTAGTGCAGCCAGTAGTAATTCGAGCTATTGTATGATTACGTACGTCACAAGTGAAGTGTGGTCTACACCTTCCGAAGAAAACAATAAAATTCCGTGAAACGCCACGGCATTTTCACTATTTTTCTAGGCACAGCACAGTTAACCCCCGGACAGTCATATCCAGCGATGTGACACGGTGTTTTTCCCCATCTCCTCGGCTACCATCAGCATCCTTGACAAGTCAACTTTGGATGATGAACGTTGTTAAGCGCGCATTATCACACCAATCTTTAGGTCACTGGGTTAATGAATTATCGAGTAGAACCATGGGATATTTGACGAGAATAAATATTCGAACCTATCGGTGAAACCATGTTGATGACCATGGTCAGCTGCACACCCAAACAAATTGTTGACATGAGGGTAGCGTCGGTCGTCATAAATAGGTCGATGTTGTTTTTCTAACTTAATGGGTTTCATATTTGATTTATAAAACAAATTTGGTTCCATTCACTAATTGTGCATATAGTAAAAATTTCTTAAATACATATGTATGTATATAATTCGACGCCAAACAGTCGAGACATTTGATGAGCTTTTGAGGTTTCATTCATTGGGACGAGCCGGAAACCTTAACCACTCATTGGACAAACGATCTTACCACAATAATCACTCACATGCCTAATCCTCATACCAAGAAAGCAAAGTACGGTTCATAAAACTAGTATTGCATGTATACGGATAATAATAAACAAGAGTACTTCGGTGCGGTTCAAAATAATTGTATGATCGTACAATGTACGTATGCGCATTATTTCTGAACTTTGATGCGTTGTCAATTTGTGATTCGTTTTTTTCACAAATTATGGGCGCAAATCGTGAGATTGATCTGAGGTAATGGTGACCTCATGGTGCAGCGACCATAACCAGAACTTTGTTTTAAAACTCTTAAATGTGAGGATTGCATGAAATTACGAATATAATTAATCCATTATTAATTGATATCAATGGGTACATGTTGTAAGCAAAACAAGCAAGACAGCACAGAGCTGAGGATTTGGGATTTATGCGTCCATCCATCCATCCTTTTTTTTTTTTTTTTTTTTTTTTTTCTTCATGCTTTTTATGTGAACAAGACGTAGGCAAATTTTCAGCAACGAGTATACTTTTGACACCTTAAATTTAACATTTGCAATGATCTTTAATAAGGGTTAAAAAGAAAGCAAAACGATTCAACATTATTCTCAATAAAACGCATAAATGGAAATCTTAGAGTCATATAAGAACATAAGTATATCATCAAAATTTTTTTCGGATGTTTGTTTTCAAACCGCAAAGAAAAAATGGTCAGGTCAAAGTTGAAAAAAGAAAAAAAAGAAAAAAGAAAAAAGATGATTGTACAGTGTACAATCTTGCAGTAATAATGGTTATTTACATGGCTTGAAGTAAATACTGTATATGTACATTGTAGAAGGATATTTACATTTTTGAGAAGAGAGCTGTTTATAGCTCACAATCGGGTTAAACAAAAGTTATATCTTTTTTTTTTTTTTGAAAATAAAACCGTGATGGTGTAGTGTAGTGCGCTCAAATAAATCACCACCGAGAAACCTGTCTCATGCGCGGCATATAAAATGAAAGAAGGAAGGTCGCGGCGAGGTCTTTATAAAAATGCTTTTCTTTTCTCGACTTTAAAATTTTGTATACGCGTGTCTCGTGCAAACTATATATACGTGTATACAGTATATGATTTTCCGTCCAATGTTAGGCGGTCATTGAGTAGTGCAACTGGTTAAAAGAAAAAAGAAATTGAGTTTACAGACGTGAGTTTCTTTATCTCCAAAGGTTGGGTTGTCAAGCGAGAACGTCCGACTCAAGATTGCCATTTGGGTTCATGCAATCCGAATTCTTGATCGTCCCAGTAATTAAGGCCTTATCAAGCAGACAACTTGGCCCAAGTCCCTTTAGACCACGTTATCCGTTGAACAAGCCTGCAGATGTTTTACGGAACCGATGCTTGACCCTTGTAGATGACACATAAATTTGACGGTAAGGATGACAATGGTGGTAGGAGTCGAAGGGGATCATGGTGATGTAAGAGGTGTAAGAGGTGTAAGAGATAAAGGGGAGGTCAAGAGCCTCACAAATTACAAAGCGATGAAAGAGCTCTCCTTATATATACTGTAGGTGTCAACTCAAAGATTGGCGTAATGATACCAAAAGAAAAAAAAACGATCTTGTGTAAAAAAAAATAATACAGTAAATAAATAAATAAATAAATAAATAAAATTAATAATAATAACATTGGTTTTTTTGTTAATCATTGGTAACAATTATTTTGTGTAATGGTAAAAAAAGATAAGAAGGCGTATCGGAATAATCACGTGAAATATTAAAAGAACAATGTTTCAATTCGAAATTGGAATTTCCACTCTCGGAACTCGCATTAGAAACATAACCCAGGTATTTGACAAAAATTCTTTTCCTCGTTTTGTAAAAAATGCAACTTCTGCGGGGTAATGTGGTAATTATCGCAAAAATATTGTTTCTCCTAAAATGAATTGTGAGCTCGCTCGTAATAACAACGCCCCCGCCTTTTTAGCATTATTGTAAGGTTTACGAAAGTTTCCGCGAGATTTGTGTCATGGAAGACCGATTGATGCGTTCATTCCGACAAGAAATAATCCTCGGAAAATCCGTTATCATTCTGAATTCTATATAAAACTTCCTATTTATTATTTAAATAAGGTTAAATTTGGAGCACAGCAAGCACATACAGTATATGTTATCTCATCATAATTGGGTAAATTACGTGTTTGGCGGTCTCAACTCAATTCAATCGACAATTAAGGATTGCCGAATAAATCATCGACTTCAATTAACTTGCACAGCTAGCGACAAAGTTACCGACTATTTCGAACAAACATTCAGCCAAGGATGATTAAATTTAGCAAAGCAAATGCAGGGAAATTTACCGTTGCATGATAACCAAGTGAATGATTGTAAACAAGAATGCATTGTAATCATTTGTTCAATCCTCAATTTAATTAAGAAAAGAAACAAAGCATTAGATCCTATCTTCCCATTTAACGGTCGAAAAACAGACTCCACTTCGTGTAATACTGAACGCCCGCCTGCTTCCGAACGTCGTGAGACATGACTCACTTGACGAATCACACTGCATGATCCAAGAGAAGATCTCAACTTCGCATCATGATGAATCGCACTACGCGCGTATATTTGGAGGATGGTCGATAAAAACGTACATATTGGGAATCTAGATGAACGCCAGAGAAAAAACAGGTACCTCGTGTACACAACTTACGGCAAATATTCATTGGATTAACGGTCATTAATGCATGTCGCAGGTGCGGGGGTAGTCTTAAACGAAGCTTTCCAAGTATCATCGTGCGCGAAAGAAATGAAGAAGCGAAATCAACGGTCTCTTACATCGTTGTGCTACAACTTCCGTTCACTCCCTCTTTCCTTTTTTTTTTCTTCTTAACGTGGCGTATCAATTACGCAAAAGAAGTTGAAAAACCTGTTACCAGAATTGACTCAAAAGAATCGTGCAAGTTCGACTTGTTAATCCATACAACCAGTGACTAATATAGAAGATATGCTCTTTGATAGAATATTCTGATCTCATTGATGACAAAAATGTTCTAGTTTTAGGATGAGGCAAAACTCTTTCATATGTAGTACGTATGTACACAACTCCGGCGAATCTCTTTCATGTGTAGTACGTATGCACACAACTCTAACAAATCAACGTGAAAAAAAAATAATTTCGCTGAAGACTGGGTAAATTATTATGCGATATATACTGTTACAAAGTTCAATATATTTATAGCTTGGCTGCATGAAAGTTCGGGACATGTGAACACAATTTAAGGGCCAGAACAGTTCACCTTAGAATAATCATAAAAAAAAAAAAAAAAAAAAAAGATTATGTGAAACTCACGTTCCCGATGTCCAATCGCGGAGATCTATTAACTTTAATCTTATTTCAAAAATATTGCAAATAAAAATACGACAAATAAATATTATATTTCCTTAATAGGCACAATACAATTTATTCATATTATCATATACCGTTCGTTACAATGTATGCGCACACAAAATACAGTGTCTTTAAAGAAATCATGATCAATGGTGAGATTCTTAAAGATAGTGATATATTGTGCCCACATTGCAAATAAAAACAGTTGTTGCATATTCATTATGCATATTTTCAATTCGAATTAATTGTGTAGATAAATTTTGAAAATACTGTATATACAATATATATATATACTGTATATACTGTATATATGTTATTTAATACCAAATCGCTTTAAATCTTCAGAAAAACTACTCTCATTCATGCATTCGAATTTTTCATTATAAAAAAAAAAAAAAAAAACAATTCTATGCGTTTGGCTTATACAATTCACACACCACCATACGGTATCAACAAATTCCCGATCTTCATTAATTCGATTCATGATTCCACTATACTACATCCGTTGTGCAAGCGATATTTTCTAATCAATGAAATTTGCATTTATGAATTGTTCACGTGTCAAGCAACCTATCTTTTTCACAAACATCAGTTGATTTAAACCATCCAACGCTGCGTATGAAACTTTAATTCGATAAGTAAGCAACTAATTTATTTGAATGCAACGTGTTGAAAGTTGATTTTTGTGCAATCTTAAAAATTTTATACTTTAAAAAACAACAATACATAGTTTCACTATATGTTGCATATATACATCAATCTATTGTTTGATTAAGTCAATTCTTCTTTATTAAATATTTTATCCATCCATGCGTATGCATCATACCGTATATAAAACAAATTGGAGTATACAGTATTGCCATACATTCGTTGAAAAACCTTTTGAAATGAAATTGATATCCTTTAAAAAAAAATTTTTTTT